CTCACAATTGCGCGCGCTCTCAAATAAATGAATCTTTTTTTTTTTTAGATTTTATTTATTCATTTGACAGAGAAGAGAGACAGCGAGAGAGGAAACACAAGCAGGGGGAGTGGGAGAGGGAGAAGCAGGCTTCCCACAGAGCAGGGAGCCCGATGCGGGGCTCGGTCCCAGGCTCCTGGGATCATGACCTGAGCTGAAGGCAGATGCTTAACGACTGAGCCATCCAGGCATCCCACAAATAAATGAATCTTTAAACACACACACACACACACACACACACACACCCCAAACAAAAAACAAAACAGTCTCTTACAGAGAACTGGTGGTTGCCAGCGGGGGGGTGGGGGGATGGGGGGGAGGAAATGAGTCAATAGGTGAAGGAGATTAAGAAATACAAATTTCCAATCATAAAATGAATAAACCATGGGGCTAAGTACAGCATAGGGAATATAGTCAATAATATTGCAGTAATATTGTATGGTAACAGGTGGTAACTCAACTTAATCTGGTGAGTATTTTGTAATGTCGCACACACACACACACACACACACACACAAACTGTCAAAAAACTATGTCGTACACCTGAAACTAATATGTCAGCCATATCTCAATTAAAAATCTTTTTAAAATTTCAGATGAATGAGAGAATTTACCATGAAAAGTAAAACTTTACAGAACTTTTAGGAAATAATACAGAAAAACATTTTTCTGACCTGGGGAAAGGTAGGATTTCTTTCACAAGTTATGACTTCATAAAGATTTTTAAATTCAACTACAATAAAAATATCAAATCTACTCATTAAAAGATACCTAAGAAAACAAAAAGAAAAGCCAGAGTAGAAGACGACATTTACAATACAAAACACACAAAACTTGGGGCACCTGGGTGGGTCAGTCGTTAAGCGTCTGCCTTCGGCTCAGGTAATGATCCCAGGGTCCTGGGGTCGAGCCCCAGATCGGGCTCCCTGCTCCACGGGAAGCCTGCTTCTCCCTCTCCCACTCCCCCTGTTGTGTCCCCTCTCTCACTGTGTCTCTCTGCCGAATAAATAAAATCTTAAAAAAAAAAACACACACAAAACTTAAGAATTCCTATAAATAAATACTTAAAATGAAAATGAGCAAGGGGCGCCTGGGTGGCTCAGTCGTTAAGCATCTGCCTTCGGCTCAGGTCATGATCCCAGGGTCCTGGGATCGAGCCCCGCACTGGGCTCCCTGCTCAGTGGGAGGCCTGCTTCTCTCTCTCCCACTCCCCCTGCTTGTGTTCCCTCTCTCACTGTCTCTCTCTGTCAAATAAATAAATAAAATCTTTTAAAAAAAATGAAAATGAGCAAAAGACATCAATAGCAACTTCAAACAAGAAACATGGCCAATAAATATATGAAAAGGTGCTCAATCTTACGAGCAATTAGGAAAACACAAATTAAGAGAACTAGAAGCTCTTTCACAATCAGTAACAGACAAAACTTTAAAAAGCTGACAATACTATGTGTTGGGAAGAAGACAGAAAAATGGCAACTATATCACTTTGGGGAGTGTATTTTAGTACAACTACTTTGTAAAACATTATGGCATTACCTAATAAAGCAAAGAAAGTACAAGCAGATCTCTACAACCCAACTATTCCACTCCTAGAACTCTATCAGGAGATATGTACAAGAATGTTCATGGCTGCATTGCTTATAGGAGGCAAAAAAAGGGCAAATAATCTAAATATCTACTGTAGAATGAATAATTATAACATATTCATATACCACAGTACAACACAGCAATTAAATTACAATTACATGCATGCGTGAACATGGCTGAATTATAAAAACATAAAGCTGAAAAAAGCAAGTCACAGAAAATATATTCAGTAGGATTTCACTTATTTATATAAAGGTTAAAACACTGGTAATAGTTACATATATAACCCAAGCATCTGGCACATAGTAGGTGCTCATCAATACCTGTCGTTTGATTGAAAGAAAAGTAAAGGAATAACACAAAATTCAGGATGGTAGTAATCTCTGGGAGAAGGTATGAAAATGTAATCACAAAAAGGCACAAAGGAAAATTGTAAGGTACAGGGGATCTACACCAACGAGATGTGATTGTGCCTATTTCCCAATAATCTCACCAAGTTACTTTATCAGATTTTTGGAATTCTTCCAATCTAACAAGTTGAGTATAGTTCCAATTTGCATTGTTATTATTATGCATAAGTTGATGAACTTCCTATGTTTTAAAGCCTTGTGTATATCCTCTTATATGAACTATTAATATACTCTCTACTAGATTTTCTTACCAATTTCTAGAAACTCATTATATAACACAGAAATGAGTACTTTGCCTCCTATATGAATGACAGATTTTCAAAGTGCATTTCTTAAAAAGGTACTCTTTAATTTCATGAATACAAAAACATGTTATTCTTTTATATTATATTTCATGAATAAATTTCACAAGTAAAAGAAGCTTCTACTGCCATGGTCCATTTTATTTTAAGGGAGATAAGTAATTCTTGGAAGCAAGCTAGAAATCTTCACATCTGCTGAAGTTCTAAATAGTTTACAACCTGGGACTTCAATGTTTAATGTGTGAGGACAACTCTTTGGCCCATATGTCAGAGAAAGTATTGCCTTACACCTTAAGACATGAGTGAGTTCTAAATTATTTAAAAAAACTATAGAATAACTGCTTTTACTTACTTCTTCTATAAAATTAATACACTCTGGATTTTTCTTTTAAGTGACTTAAGAGAACACTTTCAAATTACTTGATTGGCTATGTCTGTAGTTTTTAAATTGGCCTTCCTATCCTAACTCCTCAAATACCATACATAGTCTTCACACACAGTCCTCACATGTCAAAACAGAATTTCTAGAAATTAGCTTGTTGGGCCAGGATGAGCAAACTTATTATCAGTAGTTCCCTATCTGTGCTTCAGAGGAAGACAAGGAAATAGGAAAAAGGTGCTCCTTTTTTCAGTTTCAAGACAAAATGGCATCTCAGAGGTTGTGCATTCTGTTTCTTTTAAATACATCACAGTGCCATTTTAAATGCTCCACTCCACTCCCTCCCCCTTTCTAGACACAAAGTACCACTATGTGACTACTAAAATAGATTAGAAAATTATTTCAATTTTTACCTTCCTAAGAATATAAAGCTACCATTCATTAGGGACATTTTACTTGTTCAGTTGTTTCATTAAACCAATTCTGTTTTTGCTCTGAGTAGCCTTCATTTCTGAAAGGTCCTTGGCTTTTCTATACCAGATCACCTGAATGGAAAGTAGCCTTGCAGAAAAACTGATTCTCAAAGAAAAGAGAAGGACTGTAGTTTAATGAAAACTATTTACAGGCATGAACAAAGCTAAGTTAGAGTTCACAAGGCAGAGCTGGTGCCTAATCTGAAAGACTAGAGGTCTAAGAAGAGATTTTAACAAATGTGAATTGGCAGACAAAAAGACACTAGGATCAAAAACCAGCAAAAACAGTAGTTTGGAAGATTAAGACTTTAACTAGTAAAATAGAATGAAGGCCTGAGGAAATAATAGATATTCAGAATGATTCATTCAGTTGATGCTTAGTATAAATTTTATGGGAATGTATCTTTATATGAGATAACACAGAACAGAGTTATAAAACAGGAGGATATATAATATTTGCTTTTTCGGGAACATTACATGGTACAAAGGGTAGATCACGGAGTTCAACAGTAAATTATCCATTTGTCACTGATGTGCTCTCCATCAATATTAGAAGGAGGAAAACAGCTGTTCTAACTGGTGTTAAAAGAAATGATGTTATTCTTAGAGACAAAAAATTATTACAATCAGTATGAAAGCATATGTGAATTTCATACTCCATGAATCTAAGATTATAAATAACGACAACCATTCCATAATATTATTTAACAAACCTGTTCCCACTCCAACTCTAGCTGGTTATTTCAACTATTTTTTAAGAATAAGATTTAGCATATATAGATTAAGGTGAAATGTCCCAAGAGTTGCCTTGGGTTCAACCTCAAGAAAATATTTTAGGTAAGTATCCCCTGGTCCACTTCATATAATAAAAAAATATATCAATAAAGTCCTACAGAGAAACTAAAAACACAAGACAGACCATTCATATAATTATGTAATTTACAAAGGTTTAACTGTACAAAGAAGTCTAACACCATTTCTGTCATTTCAACTAATAATGTCAGGATTCTTCCCATTCATATTCAAGCTTCATTCTTAATACTCCATTATATGACATAAGCAAATGCAAACAACATTTTCACAGAGACTCAAATTGTCTTTGAAGAAGGAAAATAACAAAAGGATTTACTTTCTAAGGCTGTGATTAATGTTCATTCCTTATGAGCACAGAATAAAACGTTTAACCAATACAGTACATCTGTATTTAGTACTCTGAATTCAAAATAAACCCTTCTTCCTATGTGATGCTATAAGAAAAAACTACAAGTTTCAGTATTTATATGAATTAAGAATGACTTTCATTCCAAACTGACTGAGATGAGATTATCAAGGAACATATATTTTGGATTATACAGTTTATTTAGAATAATCAGACTTATTAGGTATAGTTCATTTTTACTGTTATCATTTTTTTCTCTTATACAACATGTCAATGCTGTTTTATCTACTCTACCAAAACTTGATATGGGTCATTCTGGTTAGGGTTTACTCTATTAAGTTATTCTTTTAAAAAGGGTGGGGGAACTACAGTGTTAAATTTAAAATACCTCCTCTAAGAAATGTCAGAATTTTGTAAAAATTTAAACATATAAAAAAAAATTCCCCAAACAAGTTTGTTAAAATGATGGCAGCATGCTAAAATTCTGAAACTCAATTTGATAATGAAGAACCACTTTATTTCAAAAGAAAGCATATTTACATTCTTAAAATTATGCTAAACCTGATCTATAGTGTAACCAAATTTGTCTTTAAAAGCCTCACAAACACTTCAATACTGAGTGTTAATGCTGTCATCTCAAAAATCACTCACCTTTCAAACCTAGAGTTTGTAGCTGGAAGAGCCGACCAAGTTCATAAGGCAAAACCCGTAACAGATTGTTATTTAAAAGCAATTCCCTGTTAAAAAAAAAAAAAAACAGTTTAGTTTAATATATCAAATTTTATTAATATCTGCAACTGTTTTCTTAACCTTCCCTAATATACCATGAGTGATATTTACATTCAAGGCATATTTCTATACTTTCAATCCAAAAATGTTGTGCAATATTAAAGTACCACAAAATGTGTAATTGCCACAACTGTTAACAGTGTTTCTATAATTTACTCATTCTCTAACACTGATTATTAAAGTTGTAAGAATTGTAGATCATTCTCGGGCTAAATCCATCCCCTTTTCTCTCTCACCCAAATGTCTAAGAGATACAAATCAGAGTGACAGGTATTCTTAGTATCCAACCGATATCCTTGAATCCAGTCTAATTCATAGAAAAAATAGCCAATCACCTTTACCAATTTTTATAATTGATTACAACTGTAATCACATTAAGATACTATGATGAACAATCACTGACAAAGAACATAAAAACTGAAAATAAAGCATAATACAGATAATAGGATAATATAGATAAGATCCATGTTTATGATTTTGAAATTTTGGCCAGATTCCAGAAGAAATAAACAACCCCTCATTAGATAGCTAAAAAGTACTTAAAAAAAAAAAAGAAAAGAAAACCAACAAAAACATACAATAAGGAGATGGTGAGGAGCAAGATTCTAAAACAATATATAAATGTTTAATTTTAAATATATGACAGCAATTTTTAAAAATTACTTCTCAGCATACATAGAAAAGCAATCCCTGTTGATACTGAGAACATTTATACAAATGTTCTCATTGTATAATGAGTATAAAAAACCTACAAAATTTTTTCCTATGAAGAAATTCTTAAAGAATCCTGAAGGGCTAGAAATAAATCCATTTAATATCAAGTTTTAAAGGTTTCCTTAAAAGATTTGTGATATATAACTATACTTTTCCTTATAGAACAAAGACATGTTCCTAAAAGTTTACAAGAACAGATTATTTTCCCAATTATTTACAATTACCACACACTTGAGCCTAAAGTGAGACTTAGTATTTTAACCCCACCCCACCTCAAGTCTGTCGAAAAAATAGAAGCGCATTCTAGCTAGAAACCTTCAAGTTAAAGGAAATGTTCAATGGAAGCCAACTCAAGCCCTGTTTAAACAGTTTATATCATTTGTTCTTTAAATACATATGGAAATCCTCCTGTAAGAGGAGTAATATCTCATAATTTTCTTATTTGGTAAATTTAGAATTTTATATAGTGAGTCATATCTATAATATTTTCTTACCTGAGAGACACCATGTTTCCTAGTTCTGCTGGTAAACTTCTGAGTTTATTGGATGACAGATCCAGGTAAACCAGATTATGAAGCTTGGCAATATCAGGTGGAATGCGACTAAGGTAATTGTCATTTAGGTGCAGTGCTGTCAAGTGTGTCAATGACCAAAGTGACGTACTTAAGCTCCGCACTCTACCTAAAAGGCAAAACACTGAAGCATTAAATTCAAGGCCAAAGACAAGGACTCAACCTCAAGAAATAAAAAGTGGTAGAAGAGACTGCAATATATACAGATACTCCATCTTTGACATTTAATTTTGTATTAATGCCATTTGATTGCTTCCAAACATACTTGGCCCTTCTTTAATTTCATGCCACTTCTGCCTGACAACCATTATTTCTCATGAGTTTCCCATTATTAAATGAGATGTGGCATAATGAGGAGACCATTGGAGTCAGGGTGATGATAAGGCCTCAAGAAAAACATGGGGCTGACTTAAGCTTTTGTGATAGAAGAGTCTTGAATTTTAAGGCACAGTCCTAACGAAAGTATTTCTTACATACGCCACAAAAATTAATAGTGCAAGATTTATCCATATTTTGGGCCTGGATTATTCTACAAACTTTAAATAGATAAGAGTAATAGATTTAGAACCAACGTTAGAGTGATCACTAGAAAACCATTTTACCCCTAAAAGAGATAGCTTTCCCCTTTCTGATGGTACAATTAACAACTCTGGTTTAAGATTTTCCATTAAATGCAATACACTCAAGTAAAATGGTCACACATTAAGCTTTAGCAATCAGTCAGCATCTGACAGCTCAATGGTGGAACATGTATTAGAAAACATCAGATAACCTATTTCAGAGTCCTGATTTTTACCACTTACTAGGTATATAAATCTGCACAAATCACCCAGCTACAACTGCTCTAAAATATGATATTATCTTAATAATTTATGTGAAGATCATTTTATAAACTTTACAAAAGTAAAATAGAATTTAATGTTATATCACTATCAAAACAACAGATTTTGATTAAAAGAGCAGCGGAAGGTAGAGAGGGCACAAAATCTCAAACAGTAAATGTTACTTTTCACACAGCTATCAAGCAGTAAACTCAAGCTTACATCTGTCCAGGGTTTTCTGTCACAGGTTCCTTCATGCTGTCTATAAGCAGGCTTAAAGTGCCATCATTTTAACAACTAGGGTTTTGTATTTATAGAAAAGTTTTCAAGTTAAGAGAGGTTCTGGTAAAAGAAAACTATTTCAGTTGTACCCAGGATTTAATCAAGCAGTTCTCAACCAGGGGCAATTTTACTCCCTAAGGGACTTTGGCAATCTGGAGACATTTTGGTGGTCAAAACCAGAAGAGTGCTACTGGCATCTAATGGGTAGAGGCCAGGAATACTGCTAAACACTATGCTGTACAACTGAAACTAATGTATCACTGTGTGTCAACTATACTTAATTTAAAAAATTATAATTTATGTAAATTAGTCCTTAAGATCTCCACTGCTATGTATTATGGCAATCTTTTATCCCATGTGTGTTTTAATGGAATTCTTTGCAAGATGGTAATATCTCATGTTAATATTCATATGTATTTAAACTTAATATATGCTTAATATATTAATATGTTAATATTAACTTATATTTAAACATATATATGGGAAACTATCATATTATGGACCCAAATTGCTCGATAACTATCTTCATAGTCAAAATTCCAATATCATGTCTACCATGAAATTAACGTCCATTCAATCTTTAAAAAGAGACAGAGCAAGTAGCACGATTGGCATCTAGTGGGTAAAGACCAGGAATGCTGCTAAGCAATCTACAGTGCACACAACCGCCCCCAACCACAAAGAACTATCTGGCCCTAAGTGTCAGCAACGCCAAGTTGAGAAACCCTGGGTTACCCCATTAGGATTTACTCATATTCATTCCACTGATTACCATCACCTATCCACCCAGTTACCTTTTAGCTAAATGTACAGGTAATTCTTGCTATTGACACTATGATGTGAGTTTAATGCTTCCAAATGAAAGACTACTGCAGGAAAAAAAACCCATTCTACATATTATCTGTATTGTACCAATTCATAAAAGACAGTAATTATATTCTATTTTTAATACTTTTAACTTTATAGTAATTTCAGATTTACAAAAAAATTAACAAGATAATAGAGTTCCTATATACACCTGATCCAGTTTCCCCTAATGTTAGCTTTTTCTATTACCATGGTACATTTGTCCAAGCTAGGAAACTAATATTGGTACATTACTTTTTATTGGTACATTACTAATTTACGGATTTCATTTGGATTTCACCAGTTTTTACACCTTTTTGTTGTAAGAGTCAATTCAAGATACCATTTTGCATTTAGTCATCATATCTCCTTAGTCCCCTCCAGCTGTGACAGAGTCTCAGTCTCTCCTTGTTACTCATGGCTTTGACAATTTTGAGAATTACTAGTTAGGTATTTTATAGAATGTCCTTCAGTTTGGGTTTGTCTGATTTTTTTCTCACTAGTAGACTGGGGCTGTAAGTTTTTAGAAGTCATGTTCTATTTTAACAAATCCTAAACATGAATGGTCATGTAACACAGTTATTAGTTATTTGTTAGAATAAACCAATAGCTTCTAGGTTTCCTACTCTGCCAACACTAGGATGACAGAAGAATAGCAAAGATTTCAATTTGCAAAAATAATTACTCTGCAATAGCCAAAACAAAATCTATTATATCAAAGAACCTGGTTTACTCAGAAACTGAACTCCCAATGTCCTCAATTACAGATGCCAACCCTGGCCCAAGGTATTATCTCAAAAGAATGAACAGAAACAAAGATATTTAGTCACAGGTAAATTAAACACTAGTACCTCTGCATCTTTTCTCAATTAGTTCATCTATTTTAAAATGTACAGCAAAGAGGTAAATACGACAATATTCAATCTGTGTTCATTATTGCTATTATATCCTGGTTTAAATGCTTCAGATTCCACTCACCCGAGATTTCTAATTCTGCCCAGTGAGATTTTTTCCCATTGGCTACCTCCTCTGCTGACATGATGGTATAAATTCTGCGAGGATCTGGAGGATCATATTTTTCCTTTGGCATCCCTATTAGTCTGTTTAAACAAACAAAAAAGATGATCATCAATTACAGTCTTATAGAAAAAAAGAAAAATGGGATGATAAGTTTTCTTTTTCTCTCCCCTTGCCAGGCTACTAAGTCATTTTTTACTACAAACTCTCACTAGAAGGAAAACACAGTATGTTAGGCTCTTGCAGGAACTCGGGAACAGATGCCTAAGGAAAAATGCAAACAATGACATTGGATTTCACATTGAACTTTGTGGTTGCTTCCCGGAACATCCATTCTATCCCAAACATCCATTCCCTTCTCATTCCTTTAGCTGCCTTGCTTTCCTAAACAGACTGACCCTACACCAGTTTTCTGAATGGATTCTGACTAGTCTAAGAATATCAGAGTAATCCAACCTCCTTACCTCAGTGATATTCAAATATCTTATATCTAAGACAATCAGCACATGACATTCCTCTTGTCACAGAGATTAGTTCAGAAGTATCTAATAATCATGAGGCTTAAGATTCATTCTATGCTTATGGAAGGAGCAGGCTTCTCTCTCCTGCTAGTCATAAAAGAAGAATATAGTCCACACTGCTATTTGCAACCATCCAACAATTATAAGGGAAGACAGCCATAGAAGTCAGAGTCTAGAAAATAGAGAAACAAAGAGCCCTCACCAAATCATACCTGTAGGACTCCCAAACACTGGGCTTTTTGGATACACAAGCCAATATATTTCCCTTATTGTCTAGGTGGTGTTTTCTGTTACTTGCAGTCAAAAACATCCTACATAACATTTTCTTAGTATGAGCCAGTCTTGGTTTAATCTGTTGTTCTTAAGTAATATTTCACTCTCGAAAGTGTCCAACTTGGTGGGCAGGGGGCGGGGGGGGATGCACCTGGGTGGCTCAGTTGGTTAAGCATTGAACTCTTGATCTCAGCTCAGGTCTTAATTTCAGGGTCCTAGGTTCAGCCCCATGTTGGGCTCCACACTGGCCATGGAGCCTACTTAAAAATAGTTAAAAAAAAAAAAAAAAGTGTCCAAATTTGAATGATGGAGTTACATGGCCATCTTAATTGAAATATTATATAGTCTTCTTTATGTAACTGCGAAAATAATCACCAAATGATCATGAGTGATGACAACTAGATATAAAAATCCTCAAGTATGCAATGTATGAAGCATATGACAAATGGCCCTAAAGTAACCATTCGAGAGGTACAACACAAGAATTACTGCTTGGTAGTTGGCAGAAAATAAAATCTAGTTCAGATCTAGCAAGAAAAGTAAATGACAAAGCCCTGAGCCTCATTAAAAACCTGCATGCTATCTGTAAGTTGCCTTGTTTTTTGTTTTTCTTTTAATAGTTGGTTCTTTGTTCATATTTAACACACACACACCAAAACCAAGTGCCTAATATGGGAGTATTTCCAAGTAGAGTTAAAACTTATAATTCAATGGAATTTACTTTCAGGTGGTAAATAAAGAAAAGTTAGTGGTATTCTAACTGTTTCAAAAACACAGCTAGTTCATAAGAATACAATCAAAATTTCCCATACCATATCTACTCATATTTCTGAATGTAAAATAGTCACTTTCCCCTTTACTAAAAGGAGAAAAGAGAAAGTTTTCCAGATCTATTCAACCGGTTTAACAGTAATTTACTTCCAAGTTTCCAGGTTAAGTCCTCTGCTTTAATCTTACCATACAATTTGGTTAATGCTAACCCATATTTTATTTCCCATACATATCCCAGATCTTCATACAGCACAAATAGGAACATTTTCCACAGGAAAAAAAATTACACATTCAATTTTACCACATTCAATCTATGTAAAATATTTTTTTTTTAAGATTTTATTTATTTGTCAGAGAGAGAGGGAACAAGTAGGGTGAGCGGCAGGCAGAGGGAGAAGCAAGTTCCCCAATGAGCAGGGAGCCCCATGTGGGACTCTTATTCCAGAACCCTGGGATCATGACCTGAGCCAAAGGCAAACGGTTAACCAACTGAGCCACCCAGGCGTCCCACTTCTAAAAGTAAAATTTTTAGATGACAAGGTTTTCAGAATTTCTACTGTGCACAAGGCATGTATATCTCTGAGTACTTCTGCATACTAATATAAGATTCCACAAAAACACAAGATTAAGCAAAGCCAAATTAAACAGATCCAAACCCAATGACATGCTACAAATCCATTCACTACATTGCAGAGGAGTAAAAAAGACTGCAAAATATGCAAAAATAAAAAACTGTTTCATTAATTTTAGATCATTTTCATTAAACCACAGAACATAGGATTAGTGGGGCGCCTGGGTGGCTCAGGTGTTAAGCGTTTGCCTTCAGCTCAGGTCATGATCCCAGGGTCCTGGGATCAAGCCCTGCATCGGGCTCCCTGCTCAGCGGGAAGCCTGCTTCTCCCTCTCCCACTCCCCCTGCTTGTGTTCCCTCTCTTGCTGTGTCTCTCTCTGTCAAATAAATCAAATCTTAAAAAAAAAACAAAAAAAAACAAAGGATTAGAGGTCAACTTAATGTGGCTTTTAATCATGGCTCCCGCTGGATGGTATGTTAAGGGGACTATATGTTATTTCTGTGTGGAGGTATGTCCTTTTTATATTGCTGTATAGTTCCTACCACATAGTAGGCACTTAAAATAGTTGGTTAGGCGACTGCCTTCGGCTCAGGTCATGATCTTGGAGTCCCGGGATCGAGTCCCGCATCGGGCTTCCTGCTGAGCGGGGAGTCTGCTTCTCCCTCTGACCCTCTTCCCTCTCGTGCTCTCTATCTCTCATTCTCTCTCTCAAATAAATAAATAAAACCTTTAAAAAAAATACATTTGTGGAATGAGTATATGCTTTATAATCCTAAAATCTGCCACCTTCCTTTCCTCCCACCTTTTCCATCTCACAATTTTCAGTCAATGCTTTTCTAAAAATTAATCCCAGGAAATGGTAATTAATCCACATGTTCAATTCCCCTAAATATTTTAATAATCTAGACAGGTCAATAATTACTATCTCTTCTTGGTCCTCTAATTCTTATTTTGAAAACAACAACCATACGGAATTTTTTTTTTTTTTTCATAAATTTCCACCTTCCTAAATCCACTAAAATTTACAAAATCTGTTCCTGCAAAACAAGTCCATGAAATGTTTACCAGTGTTTATATGTAAAACCAAAGTAATATTAATACTGTCATACTAGGGGTCAGAGATCTCTTTCAAATTTGATTAGGAAGCCAATGAAAATACAAGTCACTTAATGCAAAACGAATATAGATTTGGATTGTCTGCTTAAAGCTTTAACATCTGACATTTGGGTTAACTAACAAGCAATTTAGTAGAGTCTATAGTTCTGGTGATCATTACTCTCTCAAACATCAGGTTTTCAAATATGCTACTAAAGACTTAGAGAATTCAAATTTGGGAAATTGGTAATACTGAAGCCTCCTATTCAGCTTTATTTTCCCCTCAGTTCCTCAGCATCAACTTTTCACATTGAGACATACCACAAAAACCTACTTCAAAATACTGTGAAATATAATAATTCAAATGTAATTTAACTCTCTAAATGTGACACTGGTAATGTGGTTTCTAGTAGTCTCATAGGTCGTTCTAAGGCTTAACTAATGAGTAATAAATACTTTTTATCCAAAAAATAGAAATGTTTTCTTTTGGAAAGCCTAACAGCTAATTCTTTATCTTCTTTTTCAAATTGATGAAACAGGTACGTTTTTGAACTGGTTTTTCCGTAAGTTCTAATTTTTACAGTATCTTACATCAGTTCCCAAAGGATCCTCCTGTTACATCAACCTAATTTATACTAGGGATTCCTGATCATGTAACAGAGTACAATAAAAGCCCCTTTGGCATCACAACCTGTTTAACTTCCCAATCTTCAACCCCATTTCAACACTATAAAAAAATACTCCACCTAGCTCCCCAAATGCTAACTACATAAGCTTCTTTAAACCTGCCATCCACTTTCATTCACTGAAAATTAGCATATCATCTACATGACCCTCTCAGATTCTAGTGCAAAAATTCTGAGCGTTACCATCAGTCCAGGACCAAGAACCTGATTATGTCATACTTCTTAGTTCCCACATGAACTATCCTAAAAGTAAACTAGTTTTAATCTCCACCACTTAAAGCTATTTAATCACTACACATAGTGAAATTTTTCATTAGTTCATTTCTCAGCCTTCTGTTCCACAGAAAAAATTTCATGTAAACTCATAAAATACAAACTGTATGGGAAATGTATTCCAATTTTTTTCAGTTACAAGCAATATTTTTTTAAGATTTATTTACTTTAGAAAGAGAGAAAGCTTGCAAGAGCAAGCAGGGTGAGGGGCAGAAGGAGAGAGAGAATCCTCAAGCAGACTCCCCTGTGAGCGCAGAGCCCAATGTGGGGCTTGATCCCAGGATCCTGGGATTATGAGCTAAGCAGAAATCAAGTCGGCCACCCAACCAACTGAGCCACCCAGGTGCCCCCAGTTACAGGCAATATTATACACAGCACTAGACCTACTCTGCCCTAGAAAAGTTTAAATTGGATTTTCCAAAACCATAAATAAAATGCAAGATACTTATATATCATGTTGTTTCAGTGAATAGCATATCATAAAATATATGTGAAATATACCCAAATATACTATTGCTAAAGAATCCCAAATCTCAGATTTTATATCTGAGGCTAATAAAATAACACAACTACTCCCCCTCAAAAAAACAAAAACAAAAACAAAAAAACTAATCTGGACTTCTGTTAATAGTGGTTATCTAGAACAACTTATAATAAAAGAACAGCCTATACAGTACATATAAAATGTTCTTACAGTGTTAAACCAGAGCTTCCCTCTCACCATGCTGTCTAAATTTAAGGTCATTTTATCCACATCTATAGTTCACCACAATTACTATTATTTCATTTAGAATTCAGTCTAAGAAAGAAAGAATGCTACAACTACCGCAGACTGCTTCATAATGAATCAGAGACTTCTAACTACTCAACCCTAAAATACAAATCATTAGAC